AGGACTCGTCCAAAGCAGTCACTGCAGAGTCGGTAACGACTGAGCGCAGATAAAAAAAAAAGAGTTAACAATATGTGTAGGCAAAGGTTCTGGAATTTCTTGTCCAGGTGGATGGATAGACAAGTTTTAATCCTAGAGGGGCAAAATTGAGAGAATGTCCAAGCTAGTTAATTTATGTGAAGAAACCCTAAAATAAAGATCCCTCCCCTCCAAGAAGTAGAATCTGTTGTGCAGAAAGAAGGTGGTTTGTCTTATATTACTGGGGAGGGTATGTGAATCTGAATAATTTCTTTTTCCCTATGCTAATTCTGAAATTCTAATTTTGTATTTTTTTGAGTGAATAAGACCCATCAAAGGACACCAGACAGGAGCTGAAACAGCCTACTAATGGATAGGGATCTCTCCTCTCTCCACTCCTAAGAGTCTTAGGGAGAGGGAGTTGATGAAGAAGAAAGTGTTGTGTGTACACTGGAATTGAAGCAAAGAGCAGAATTTACTCTGTGCTAGAAACCCCATTTCTTTGGGGCTTTTCCTAGAAATTTGGTGAGAAACCAGAACCCATTTGAATGCTAGTGTTGTGAACCTCACACTTTATGTTTCAGCCATTATATATATGCTTGTATGAACTTATATCACAGAAATATAATTAGCCTCCGGGTACTTCATTCTAAAGAAATTGAACTCTGAGTCAGCATTGTCATCTCTCAAAATTCCTAAAAATTGAAAATGGATGCCCAGGCTTGTAACATTTTCATAACTCTGTACTGTATATCCATACATTTGTCAAACAGGCTATTGAAAGGAGTTTCAATTTCTGGCATTTTTCTTTGCAGATCCTTTCTGAAAATGAGTTTTGCAATTGAGGAAGTTTCCTTTTTAGGGGTGGTGATTGCTTCCTTTACTATAGTGGCAATATTAATTTATGTACGAATTTTAACAAAGAGCAAACAACCACTTCCACCAGGACCTTGGTCACTACCTATTTTGGGGAATCTTCTCCAGCTTGGGGAGTATCCTTATGTTTTCTTTGATCAGATGAGGAAGAAGTACGGAGATGTGTTTCAGATACAGCTTGGAATGGTTCCTGTTGTGGTTGTTAATGGCCTGGATGCTATAAAACACGTGCTGCTGAGAGATGGAGAAAGTTTTGCTGGGCGACCTGATATGCACACCTTTTCTTTTTTTGCCAATGGTGAGAGCTTATCATTTTCAGTGAAATTTGGAGAGAGTTGGAAGCTGCAGAAAAAAATTGCTGGCAAGGCTTTAAAGTCACTCGCCAGGTCTGAAGCCAAGTCCTCCACTTGTTCTTGTCTTCTTGAAGAGCATGTTTGTGCTGAGGCATCAGAAATGGTGAAAACTTTTTTAGAACTCTCAAAGAAAGGGAGCTTTGATCCTGTTGTGGTGACAACCTGTACTGTGGCCAATGTTGCCTGTGCCCTCTGCTTTGGCAAGAGGTACAGCCAGAGTGATGAAGAATTTCTGAGTGTGATTAATCTGAGTCATGATCTTGTAAAAGCCACAAGTGTCTTCAATCCAGCTGATTTCATACCATGTCTTCATTATCTTCCACTCGCTGCTGCAAAGGCTGCTCGTGAGTTTTATGGAAAGTTCAATAACTTTGTTGCACAGCATGTGGAAGACCATTATGTCACATATGATAAGGTAAGCTTTTAACAGTGGGAACTGAAAACAGCTCTATATTGCTTATAGTTCCACTATATGCTTGGGGATTCTACAGGTAGTCCTGGCTTAACAACAGTAATTGGGACTGGTAACTCTGTTGCTAATCAATATAGTCATAAAGTACAACGTCACGTGACCACACCAACTTACGATGGGAGTTGTAGCAATTCTGGTTGCCATCATTAAGTGAATCCCACATGGTCATTAAACACAATGTCATGTGATTGCCATTTGCAACTTCCTGTCAGCTTCCCCATTAACTTTGTCAGAAACTGGCAGTGAAGGTTGCAAATGGTGATTGTGTGACCATGGGATGTGGCAACCATCATGATTGCAAGCTGGTTGCCAAGCACCTCAACAGCGATCATGTGACTGTGGGGACTGTGGGGACAGACCATGAGGACTGGTCGTAAGTCTCCTCGTTCAGTGCTGTTGTAAATTTGAATGGTCACTGAATGAGTAGCCACTAAGCAAGGACTACCTGTATGTACAAAATGATAACAACAATACAGAAAGTTAGCTAAAGGACATTATTTCCAAGTTAATATGTTATATTACTGTTCATTGTGAAATGGTGGAAAAGTGATAAGTTTTGAATTCACATACCGCCTGAACGTGTAGGCATTGGGTTTTTTCTTACTATTAATGTATCTCTGATGTCTACAAAATAATGGGAGGAGATTTTTTCTCTGCTAGCAAGAATAGCCCCTAAACAGATTTTTTTCCTAGAACCTGCTCCCCTCTGCTATGTCTTGGACCATTACAGATCTGCTTAGGAAGTGGCATCGATCAAGTTTTGTTCTTTTTCTGGCAAAAGCATTCTGAGTTCTGAGCCTGCTCTCACGAGCAGAGGGAAATACGACCTCCAGCTCTCAGACCAAATGCAGCCAAGAAGGTCCCTATAGATCTGCTGCATAGATATCTAAGCAGCTCCCACCCCAAAACTCCTCTTTAGAAGGTGCTCCTCTGGCTGATGGGAAGAATAATTGGTCCCTGTCTCTACCTGTTCTTCATATAAGGAGGAAGACTGGGAAAAATCCTTCCCTGCATGGTTTTCCATCTAGTGAAGGGTTTCTTCTATGCAGAGGGAAGGAGGAAGCAACTGCTTGTTTCCATCTTTGAGAAGAATTGGCTTATCCTTTCTGAAACCCCCCTCTTGGATTATCTGACCTGTGGAGGGTAAGAATCAGCTCTTGGGTTGGTTCTTTACCTATGTGCTAGCAGAATAAAAAAAATATTTTTATTTTATTTTAATGACTTAATATGGCTGCCCATCTCACAACAGTGGCTCTAGGTGGCATACAAAAAAAGAAATGAAAACAATCCAATCATAAAAGTCAAAGGTCAACAACAAAAAGCCACAGTAGCCAGCATTTGTTCTGTCACAATTGTTTCTTAGCTTACTCTTCCTTAGTGTGCAGCTCCTCATGGCTCTTGGTTTATTTATTTAGTATGCCATCCATTCCCAAGGTTCTTTAATCTGTTTTATCTAGCATGGGTTGACCCGTGCATAGTATGGCTGTGATACAGCAGAGCTACTTAAATCCTAAAATCTTCTGGGGCTTAGACAAACCTAAAAGCAACCTGACTCAAAGAGATCCCAGAGATCCTCCTTGTACCAGACATCTCAGGAATCCTCCTTTCTTCAAATGGGATCACAGGATCAGCAGCTGTCTGTGCCAGCTAAACTGCAACTCTTGTTTACCTCTTTGTTCTGCATATTTTTTTGTAATCTACCCATAATTTCATAATTTCATCTCACCTCTGCTACAAGTGATAGGACCTTCATCTGCATTCCCAATAGATCTGGAAGATGAAAACCTTCAGACTGAACTTCCTGTAAGCTACAGTGATACCTTGGGTTACGAACGCCTCTGCTAACGAACTTTTCGGGTTGTGACCAGCTCCGGCCGCAAAGATTTACCTTGGGTTATGAACCGGATCCACGGCCATTTTCTGCCATGACACGTGGTCCGCGGACATTTTCCGCCCATTCCACGTGGTCCGCGGACATTT